CAGAGAGAACTACAAGTCCTGGAAGTGCTCGGCTCAGCCGCGCATGTCGTCGATTGGAGTCCCATGGACCTGGTCAAAGTCATATATGCTGACGTGCCGGAGTCGCTGCACTTACCGGCGGCGCACGGCGTAGTACAAATCTTGCATAAACTACAAGGCGAAGACAGAGTTACCCCGGGCGTGGAGGACAAGTGGCGTCTCAAGGACAAGTCGGCCTTGTGATGAGGGCCACTTTGCTATGTCTAATTCTACCTAACCTACCTACCTCGCCTGTGATGATGTAATGAGTCATTGTATCGGGAGTGAGAGACATGTTCGGCATGTTCGGGCGCTAAAAAGTGAAGGGATAATGAAGTTTCTGTCAGCATCGACCTTTTATTTCATTCAAATACCGAATCCCAAGAAAATTTGCGCAAGGGAGCGGGTCCACAGTCACATCACGGGCGGTCGGACATGACAAAGGAAGCTCCGGGAGTGTGTCGGTGACGCTACCCCTGCCCGCCTAAGTATTGTGGATTTATCACAAGACACCAAATAAATATGATGATACGCTGCCCTTCTGCCTTGGGATAATTATTACCATTTGTGTGGACACCTAGTCCAGAGTACGTGGCCGACTTACATACACCTATGTACATAGAGCGCCACAGCGTTACCTTACATGATGCACCAATCCTCATTTCTTGCTAGAATAATTAGGACAAAATACGAAACGCAGCCCAAGGTATGAGGTAATAAGTCATCGGCGGAAGTACCATTTTTAGTCCATCGTTCCCGCAGCAGCCCGGCACTTCAGGTAAAGAGCATGCACGTTTGTGGATCGAGTGTTCACCGGATTTAGCAATGCAACACAAAAGTCACATATACTAGCACCACTACTTGATACTATGTAGTACGCTGAGATGATGCAGTGTTCTCATCGAGGGTATCATTATTTCATAAATTTGATTTTATGCACGCACAAGCGGAAATCGCTAATGCAACCTACCGTCCTGTCGTGACTCCCGGATCATCCGTTGTCATCACTGAACTGGCGGCCCCCGGTGGCTGGGATTGGGTCCCAGGTGACGAGTACCTGATAAGGCAGGGTTACATGTGCCAGCCTTTCTCATGCCTAGGTGGCGCCAAGTCGCAGATGGATGCTACTACCGATGCATCAGTGGTGGGGCTATGAAGGCTTCCGAGAATACCGTCGACGAGGAGCGATGCGTGCTGAACCACGAGCCCGCTGTGCCGCGAGGTTGTGGAAGGGGACAAGGAAGGAGCGAGCGAGGGAAGCGGAAAGAAGGACATGAATCGGACTCCGATATTATTAGAAGCATCGTTTATTTTATAATTATTCCATGCCACTGGACTAAAAACATGTCTCATATAGACCAATACAGATATATATAGGGCACGATACACATATCAAATCAGTATACTCCGTGTAGTATAAAATCGCAAGGCACCATCTGCATACTCATGAGATGTGGAATAACAGTCAACTTGTTACGAGTATTATTTATCAGAGCGACTGCGTGTCAGACCGGGGTGTGTCGGATCACCCCTCTCTCTTTTCATTTCCATCGGCGGACCGGGGTCTTGAAAAGTACCTCTTAACTTACTTACTGTATGGGGGTGACGAATTGAGCTTTTTGTGAGAGCTTGCCAAGCTTGCCAAGCTCTCTACACTTACCTATCCTCGAACGACCGACCCATTGTACGGATATCTCGCGATGCCGTTCTCTTCGCCTTTTTTTGGGTCCCAAGAAAAATAATAATACTAATAACATTAATAACCAAAATAGTTGATGCAGCATATATGTAATACTGAATGTCTATATATTTTCAACCCGCCCTGGCCCGCCACTCCCACCTGCCTCACCAAAAGCCTCTCTCGTGCTTAATAATACCTAATCTAATAATGCAGCTTTGGTAAAAAAAAACCCTTTCGCACGTACACATAAACCACACTCTCACCTATTTCCTACTTACTCTAGCATCGATTTACACTCCTTTGCGTAGAGTCCGTGGCGGGCGATAAAATTCTAAAATATCCCCAACCTAGCTGGTCGTAAGTCCACCGGATCCGGACTTGAGACACCAACACGTGCTTCCCCAACCGGTGCAATGGGGTCGGCCGTTGTACGAGCTTTGAGGCTGTTAGCTGTTGCTCTCGCTTTACCAGCAGTCCTTGCCAGTATTGAGGGGCGTGATATGAATATGGATCCAGATATGAATATGGACATGAACATGGGAGTGGCCGATCAACCACAAGACTTGTACCCGCCCACGTACTTTGCCCACCCCGACCATGTTACCGCCATCTATGTGCACATCGCATTGATGGTCTTGGCATGGGTCTTTATACTTCCCACAGGTATGACGCTATGCCCTTTCGCACTTCAACGTGTACAGTAGGCTGACTAGCGTCCTCCCAGCTGTTATGCTTTCTATTGCTCGGTCACGACATACCCTGGTCGTTCAATTCATCTTTCTGGTTGCCAATGCTGTAGGTATTGCTGCGGGCATTGGTTACAATGCGAACACGCCAGACCTATACCCAGGGAACGCCCACCACAGCTTGGGATGGATTGTCACGTGGATTGTCAGCGCCCAGATTGTCGTCGGACTGGTCGGTCGCCTTGCTGGTGCTATAGCTAAACCCCAAAATGGAGAGGAGCAGCAGGCCTTTATTCCCGTGTCGACGGAGGCCATGGCCGAACACCAACGCATCCACCAGCATCCGTTCTCCTCGCCATATCGTCAGTCTAATGATAGCGGTCAGGGCACAGAGCCAAATACCGAGTCTCTTCGAAGCAATTCTGTGTCTACCATGGCAAGTCACGATTTGCCAATCGACATTTGTGACAGGCGAATGACCTACGACGACGAAGACGAGGAGACTTCGGCGTATAGACCAAGGGAAACTCGAGCTTCAGGTGCCATCCCGTCTTTGGTCGCCAAAATCGCCAGTGGCATATCTGGCAGGACGCGGAGGGTTATCATGTTTAGTTATAACCTCGTGGATAGGACGATCCTCATTTTGGGATATGTTGCTCTTTGCACCGGGATCATCGCCTATGCCCGATTTTTCGTGAGTCCGAACAACAGAAATACAAGGAAGAGAGTTGCGCATGGCTGACCATGGTGCTAGGAGGGCCATGAAATCTTTAGCGGATTAGCACATTGGATTAAAGGCGGTATCTTTTTCTGGCTAGGCATCCTCACCCTGGGTCGGTGGGCTGGCAGTTTTGGAGAGCTCGGATGGGTGAGTTTCCAAACGCTATGGTCTCGGGCCGTGTTGACTAACAAAAAAGTGCAGGCGTGGAATGTTCGTCCCAAGCAGAGCTCTCAGAGATGGCGGCCGACGGCTGAATTTGTCGAGGGTGCGCTCATCTTTACCTATGGGTCGACCAATGTATTCCTCGAGCACCTTGGCAGTTCAGAGGCGAGCTTCAGTGCCGAAGACCTGGAACACCTTTCCATTACTATCCTCTTCATTGGGGGCGGGTTGGTATGTTCAGCCGATTTCCTCTTAAGATGGGGGGTGAACTGACATAGATACCCTCAGTTGGCCATGCTTATCGAATCCACGCGGATTCGCGAGCTACTCAACATGACTGTTACAGAAGCAACGCTTGGTGACTCGCACCACACGTACAGCGACGAAGAGAAGGAGGCACTTGAGGCACCGGAATCGTACGAGTTCTCGATCAACCCGATTCCTGCGCTTGTGATCCTCCTCCTTGGTATCATGATGAGCTCGCACACGCAGCCATCCATGACATCGAGCATGATCCACAAGCAATGGGGAAATCTGCTCACGGGTGCGTCGTTTGCGCGTGGCTTCACTTACGTCCTGTTGTACTTGAAGCCCCCGCGGTCCGTACTTCCATCGCGTCCGCCAACAGAGTTGCTCGCATCATTTGGCCTGATCTCGGGAGGCACGCTCTTCATGGCAAGCGTACGTAAATACCCGTAGTCCCTTGCAAAATTGTTTGGAAGAGCATAGAAATCTGACCTACTGAATAGAGTTCTGACACGGTAGCGGGCATGATTCACTACAATTTGGATGCCATGTTCTTCTATACCGTAACTATGGGGGCAGTCGGTCTCCTCATGGCATGGGTAGTTGTCCTCCTCGCTGTGAAAGGCCTGGCCGTGCGTCGGGAAGCATTGCGAAATCATGCGATGCGCAGTGCGAGATTGCGGCCCTAAAGGTCCACAACACGAGCGAGGTTACCAGCAACTTGGCCGGCCTCAGATGAGATTTGGAGCTTGGGGTAATTGCAGGTGATTTGTCACACGTGATGAAAACAATCTGCGGGTTTTTTGGGAAGGCACCTAGACATCATTTCTTCTTCTGCATGGTTCTCATGGTTTATATCCCCTTTATTTTCAAACATTCATTATACCCTGGCATGATACCCTTAAAGACACGGTTGGATTTTCTTGGTGATCCGGTTTTAGTGCGCTCCGGAGGGGCAAGTTCGGGTGATGGTAGATGGAATGGGGATGAAAAGAATGAGAGATGATTGCAGGCCAGAAAGGCGATGATGACATGGATATTTTGGTATAAATAAGTTCAAATGAACGATAACAGGTTTACAAATATACCTCATCCCGTGATCTGCAGGCTCTTGTCACATACTGACTTGGTTGTACGACCTCCAATAGAGCAGACTTTATTACAAACTTAACGAGACATCTTCATACTCCCTTTCATAGAAGGTATTAGACATTGCCAGTAGGAGATGAAATCATCTAGATATATTTATTATGTAAGACAAACAGTAGATGCTGATTGATTTATTATTAACTATTCCTGGATTAAGACTATGTAGAGGTATGGATAGAAGCAAATATGAAAAAATAAATTAAACACCCAACTGTAATATATATCTTTGCCTTATATGAGAAATAAGAACAACAGATATCCCAAAACGGACAGGGAAAAAAGAAAAAAGACCGAAAAGCAAGTGGATGAGGAAGTTGAAAAATTCTTGAAAAATATTCGACACAGGCCCGATTCGAACGGACGCTCCCGAAGGAACAAGATGTCATGAAGATTCAAGTCTTGCGCGTTAACCTCTCCGCCACTGTGCCGTCGCTTCTGAAGTGGCTGAAGATGATCTTCTTGCAATATAAGACTAGACAGATGAGAGGGGAGCGATATTTGGGGTGGGAAGCCCATGTGGGGAGTGTGTGAGTGGGATCGGTCAAACCAAGAATTCCACGTTAGCTAATAAGGGTACTTAACCCTTTCAGGCAACCTCTGACTTTCCGACTTTCCTTGCCAGAATCACACCACAATACCACATCTGTCACGGCCTCTCAACACCAAATCAGTCAAGATATTATCATATGAAAGGGATGGCGGCCAAAAGCCCCAAAGGTTCAACCCGTATAGTTCTTGAAAAATAATTACAGAGCCATATACAATGGCTTACATGTATAACTAAAAACATCACATATGTTAAAGGGGGATCACTCGGGTTGACTATAATCTCACATTTGCCGGAGTGTCCTGATTAATACCTCCGCCCCACTTTTGTTGTTGATGTCCGCCAGGTGCCGGCTCGGCCCCACTCCGCCGAGCTACTCTAACAGCCAATCAGATCGTATTCATGTCTTGCACCAGAAAATATGATTGGTCAAATTCCCTGGACCTCAGGTCTTGGCAGAATTGGAGCCGAGGCGGCACCTGGCGGGATAGGCAGGACCTAGGCTGGTCCGGCTTCCCCATCTCCATTCTAATAGGTGGCTGCCTGACAAGTACGAAATTTAAAAAAGAGGAAACTAAAACATGCCATAAGGGGTCGCCGGCTTGATTCAAAACGGCTTCATCGACACCGGCACACATCGATTGCATCATGGAGCTCAGCGAGGCAAATGCCTATCTCGAGGCCTCCATCCACGCCCTGTTTGAAACCTTTCAGAAGGTTCCTGGCAGCGCCGTGCTGATCCGCTATATCCAGTCCAGCTACCAGAACGACCCCGTCCGCTCTGCTATTGAGCTTGTCCTTGTGCTCTTCTTTGTCCGATACCTGCTGTCACCCTCATACCCCACCCACGCCTCCAACTACATCAAGCTGCGCGAAGATGAGATCAACGAGCTCGTTAACGAGTGGGAGCCCGAGCCCCTCGTCGCCGAGCAGTCCCCCTTCGAGGAGAACGAGGCCGAGAAGGTCCCTGTCATAGTCGGGTACGACAGCACTTCCATTACCTCCATCTTCTAATACTATGAATCTATTAAGATTTAAGAGTTATAATTGAGGTACTGACCATATGTACTACTTCAGACCGACCGGCCCCAAGGTCAAGCTCGCCAACGGCAGAACCGTCATGAATCTGGCTTCGTACAACTTCTACAACCTCAACGCCAGCGAGTCCATCAAGGAAAAGGTCATCCAGACCCTGCGCACCTACGGCGTCGGCCCCTGCGGACCACCCCAGTTCTATGGCACCCAAGACATCCACATGCACACCGAGGCCGACATTGCCTCCTTTCTCGGTACCCAGTCCAGCATCGTCTACGCCCATGCCTTCTCCACCATCACAAGCGTCATCCCCTGCTTTTGCAAACGTGGCGACGTCATCGTCGCCGACAACATGGTTAATTACTCTATCCGCAAGGGCCTCGAGGCCTCCCGCAGCATCATCCGTTGGTACAACCATAATGATATGGAAGATCTCGAGCGTGTCATGAAGAAGGTCGTCGAGGAGCAGGCCAAGAAGAGAATTCTTACCAGGAGGTTCATTGTTACTGAGGGCTTATTCGAGATGGTTGGCGACTGTTCCAACTTGCCCAGACTGGTAAGGCATAACCCTCCGTCCACTCTCAACTCCCACGCAAGCACTAACAAAGGATCATTCAGATTGACCTCAAGGAGAAATACAAGTTCCGTCTCGCGCTGGACGAGACCAACTCGTTCGGTATCCTTGGACGCAACGGACGAGGCTTGACCGAGGCACAAAATGTTGACTCGGAGGCTGTGGACATGATCATAGGCTCGCTGTCCGGGCCGCTGTGCTCCGCGGGCGGTTTTTGCGCCGGCTCGAATGACGTAGTGCGGCATCAACGGATCAACTCGGTAGCCTACACGTATTCGGCGGCGCTCCCAGCCATGTCGGCAGTGACGGCGAGTGAGACGCTAAACGTGCTACAATGCAACCCGGACATTCTGACACAGTGCCGAGAGAATATCCGGGCGATGCGAGCGCAGTTGGATCCGCGTAGCGACTGGGTGACGTGTACAAGTGACCCGGAAAACCCGATCATGATACTGGTGTTCAAGGCCGATGTGATCACGTCGCGGGGTTTGAGCATTGAAGACCAAGAACGGCTCTTCTTGGACTGTGTTGAGGAGACACTGGCCAACGGGGTGCTAATCACGCGGCTCAAAACGATGCCGTTGATCAACAGTCTTGGACCCAAGAACAGTGACATCAACATCCAGCCAGCGCTTAAGGTGTGCGTTACATCTGGGCTGTCGAAGAAGGAGATCGAAAAAGCCGGCGTGACGATCCGACATGCCATTACGAAAGTGATGACGCGCAAAAATAACCGACCCTCGTCGGCCAGCTAGACCTGGCATTGCGAGATGTAAGAATACAAACAACTGGATAAGAATCATAGACTCTATACTTATTTAATCCTAATTCTACGATATGATCTTTTTGCGTCCATTGGAGGACTGGGCAATAATCTATTTGGGTGTACTTGATTCTCATCACGGCAAGGAAATAATGGGGAGGGAGGATATAGTTAGACGTGTGAGCATGTAGAAAAGCCAAGGAGGGCAGAACTGGGATGTAAACATAGGGAGGAGAGGTTGCTCCGTTCAATGGTTGCAGACTACCTATGTTACCTTCCCCCTTTCTTCCTACATCAGTGATTCACAAATATGGAAAGAGATGAGAGTCGTGCCTACCTCACACATACTAGTGACATTCCCTCGCCACTCAGGGCAAGCACAACTGAGACCTGGGCTGCAATATCCCTTCGTCAAGATAATATCAAAACCACCTAGATCTGTCGGCGGCATTCCTCTCACGTTCATTGTTGACGCTGCATAATCTCTTCTACCCCTCGTTTACATCTTTAAACCCGTCCCCGTTTTCATTCCCATCTTCACTTTCACCTGATCCTCCCTCTCTCACTACCTACCATTCATCCGTTCCCTTTGTCCCTTCGTGTTTGTTGTCGCTCCTTCACCTTTCTCTCTATCTCAGTCACTCATTTAACAAACACATACATACACACAGGTTTCCTCCTACCTCTTACCACACACCTGCTTTTGATTGGCCCTCTGCAATCATGAGACTCCTCGCCATTTCCTCCGCTCTCCTCTGCCTCCTTCACCTCTCCCTCGCGCAGCCCGGTAAGTCTCCTTCTGCATCGTCCGCACTTAAGGGCTGATGACCATCCCAGGACATCGTCACGGCGCCAGGCATAACAACTTTCCAAAGAGGGATAGGGTCACTGTCACAGACACCACCTACCCCACCGCAACCGAGTTCCCCGAGGTTGTCGTCTATGTCGACCAGTATGGAAACGCCATTCGCACCGCCACCGAGACTGTCGTCTATGTTCCCGCTCCCTCTGCCCATCACACATCAACCTCACCTGTCTTGCCACCTCCAGTCGCAGCACCCGCTACTGCTACGCCCTCGTCACCTTCCTCTGTTGAGGCAGATGCGGTGAGTCTATCGAGCTCCGAGACGCTGCCCGCCACCTCCAGCGCGTCCGTGGCCATTTCCACCGCCACGCCTGTCTCATCAGCCCAGCCAGCCCCAGCGGTCCCGGGCAGTAGTGGTACTCTTCACGGGGTCACGTACTCTCCCTACAAGGCCGATAGCAGCTGCAAGACGGCGGACGAAGTTGCGCAAGATTTCGCCCTCTTTGCCCAAGAATACGGAGTTATTCGACTGTACGGCGTCGACTGCGATCAGGTTGCGACAGCCTACATTGCGGCTAAGAAATACGGCAACAAGCTCCTCCTGGGAATCTTCGACATCACACAAGTAGACTCGGCCGTAGCGACCATGGCTGCGGGCGTCAATCACGACTGGAGTGCAGTCGACACGGTCTCAGTGGGCAATGAATTGGTCAACGATGGTACTGTAACGCCAGCGCAATCCCTGGCAGCATTATCGCAGGCAAGGACTGCTCTACGAGCGGCGGGTTACACGGGCCCTGTGGTCATCGTGGATACATTCGTGGCCGTCCTCGCCAATCCGGAGCTCTGCGACCAGTCCGACTATTGCGCGGCCAACATCCATCCTTTCTTCGACCCTAACACGGCAGCGCCCCAGGCTGGTTCATTTGTGCAGGCGACAGTGCAAAGCATCCGGGCCAAGTTGGCGGACCCCAGCAAGCGCATCGTGGTGACGGAGACGGGCTGGCCATGGCAAGGTGAGGCCAACGGTCAGGCGGTGCCGGGACTGACGCAGCAGACGGCAGCGCTCTCGTCGGTCAAGGGCGCGTACTCGAGCAACGCGGCAGACGTGTTCTTATTTACGGCCTTCAATGACCTGTGGAAGAAGGCAGAGCCAGCAACGTTCATGGCGGAGCAGTTTTGGGGTATGGGGGGTCAGTACTCGCCGTGTGACAGATGAAAAGGGGCAAGGTTAGATAGCTGATGGCGGGCTACGTGGTGAGTGAGACAGGAAAAAGGAAGTTTGGGTTTTGCAACAAGGAAAATGACGGGGATTGGTCACTCGAGACATGTACAGTTCTACTAGCATTGCTTCCTTATTCTCTGTTGAAAGTGAATGGTATAGGGTGTATGCCTGATTGACTACATCTTGGCCTTGACCTCTTCAAAGTAAGCCTTCAACTGGTCCATCTCGGCAGGCTTTGTAGGCCAACCAACACCGAGTCCTTCAGTCTCATTGGGCTTGGGGATCTGCGAAGGGGGTTGTTAGCATTGGGGAAAGAGGCTAGAGGAGTCGACTTGCCATGTGGAAGTGGACATGGTCGACGACCTGGTGAGCAATGCGGCCGTTGTTCTGGAGGATATTGTAGTCTACAGCGCCGGTTGCGTTGACGAGCTTCTTAGCGACGGGTAAGATCTCAGTCAGGTGATCATCGGGGATATCGG